GCTCCCTCTATGGCTGCTCTTTCCATGTATCAGTATATAGCAAGCTTACACATATGGGTCTCAGGAGCATGGGGAAGAGACCTTGCTTGGTTTCTCAACTCCCTGGCCAGCTCACTAAGACTCATTTTCAAAGGCCCCTTGCTCTGATCCACAGCCTTCCAGACTGTGGTATGACACTCATTCCACCAACTCTGTACCTTCTGACGTCAGCTCTCTTTCTCCTTTTCGTTGCCGGCCCTCGGTATGATGCAGGAATCCTCATGTGGGAGGTGTTCAGCCTTGGGAAGCAGCCCTATGACTTATATGACAACTCTCAGGTGGTTGTGAAGGTCTCCCAGGGCCACCGACTCTACCGGCCACAACTGGCATCGGACACCATCTACCAGATCATGTACAGCTGCTGGCATGAGGCAAGTGCACACCCTGAGTGGGCTGGAGGGCTGGAGAAGCCACACACATCCAAGGTGGTCTCTGCATTGCTGCAGGGACAAAGTTTTTTGAGAGAAGCCACTTGCCACACAGGACAGAGAGAAATGGCCTTGACCCTCAAATGTTTGCAATCTAACATGAGTCATGCAGGTACTGATGAATTCCTGAAAAACTTATGTCTAGCACTGCTCTATGAACTGTATAGATATTACCTTGTTTATTCATTAGAAACAAAACTATGAGCTAGGTGTTGCTATCAGTAAAACATACATGAGAAGAACTAGAGGCCCAAAGAGTTTAAGTGACCTGCCCAAGATCACATAGTAAGAGGTAATCTAAGCCTCGTAACTGCAAGGCTATGGAGTATCATCTCAAGCAGAAAGTGTATAGCAGAGTACATCTGACCACATGGAGAGAACACACAGCAGACAACATCCAATCATCCCTCCTGTCTCCTAGACTCTGTACACAAGCATTCCCTTTAGGTAGAAGAAAAGAGAATTTTATAAGGAAGACATAGAGCTAAAGTTGCAGGGAATTCTTTTGCAAAGCATCCACTATGTTCATAGAACTCATGAAAGATGATAAGGAAGTATGAGTTGGCATTTTTCACCCCACTGAATTCAAAGTCTTTACACGTATACACACAAATGCATGTCCAGGCATACACAATGCAATTGAAAATACCAGACAGTTGACAATTACACATCCAAATTAGAAAGATTGACAAATAAAAGAGCTCAAAGGAGACAGAGCAGCTTCCTAAATACACTGATAACTGAGCTGAATAAGGGACTCTGTAAAATTCGCTTGTATGTGAATTGAGACCTTAGCAAAGGGTGTCCGATCAAATGAAATAGCACAAGCAAAGGTGTGGAGGCAGGAAACAGCATGGCGTTCTTGCCTGGAACCACTGACGAGAGGGCTGAAAATAAGTTTGGTTCAGATTCTTCCAGCTGAATGACAAGAAGAATGTAAGCTTTGTTTTTCATAGGCAGTGAGGAACCGTTGACAACTTTTGAGCAGTGACATGATAAAAGAAGATTTTCAGAACATTATGAACTCAAAGATCCTAACCGATACATGTTTCCTTATTGACAAATGAATCTAATGCTGCGTTCACACACTGACTCATTCATTCACTAGTGAAAAGCAAATTCGCGTAGTAATTACACACATGGATTCTAGAAACAGAATCTTGCCTTGATCATTTACCAGCTAATGACCTTGTACGGGCCTCCTAATATAATACATTATATGCATTTACTTCATAGGACTATTGTGTGGATTGGATGAATTAACATTATTGAGTTCTTAGAGCAATGACTGATACTGTGTTGTGCTTGCTATATATATATATATATATATATATATATATATATATATAGCAAATTACAAATTACAAATCATCCAGATACCAGATACCAAGCACTATGCTTAGAGCTAGAGATAAAATGATACACACAACTTAAATAGTTCCAATCTCTTGTATAGCAGCCTATAGTCTCTTTGCTGTGGTCTCTGGCTGCATCAATAACAGTATTCATCATGTAGCCTTAAATGGTTGCCTGAAATATGTGCACTTCGTGATTTCCCACCTCATAGCATTTGGAATAGTAATATTAAAAGATAAGTTTCTCCACCCCCTTTTGACACCAAAAATAGTGTTTCAGAGCCCCAGGCAGCTCTAGAGAGTCAGGTTCGGTCTTAGTACACTTAGAGTTCTGCAACTGCCCCCAACCAGGCTGCTCTGCCATGATCACATGTCAGATGAAGAAGAGAAGACAGAGGTTTTTGTTTTTATTTTCAGTCGAAGCCAGGAACCCCTGGCATTCCTTACTGTGGCTCCTTGGAATATAACTGCACTATCAGATAGACAGGGGCACTAAATGGGGAGGAATCACGTGCTTCTCACCCTAGTCCATAAAACTATGTGAGTTGTGACAGAATCCTTAAAGAGGGGTCTGCATGGGGACAGAACCCAAGTAAAGATTTGCAGCAGAGTTTGTAGATTTTACCTTTCCCTGCACTTTTATATTTCACTTTTCAACTTTTCAGGTCCACAAAAAAATTAAAAGAAATTGAAATTTTTATTTAGATCCTGTTTTATCTTTCTGGAGTTTCTCAGAGCATATGTATGTGTGTGCATTTCCTTGTTTTTCTTTCTTACAGAAAATGTAGCATCTGAATCACTCCTCTTGGGTGTTGCCCACTAGCCATGAAGGTAGCGATCTGTTTCCCTCGCTGAGGGAGCACATCATCAACTTCCGAATTTTTGCTAACTTGGTAGATAAAAATGGCAATTTAATGCAACTGTAATATGTTTCTTTCATTAAGAGTTAAACTGATGGTAGTTTTTGTTTTAGCCATACAAAAGCCTTTTTTAAAAAATATAGCCAATTATGACTCTATTTGCCCTTTCTGCTTCTGAAAATTAAGTCGTGGTTACCTAGGTTTTCTCACACCCAATGTAGAATGGAGTTCTCCTAGATTTTTCTCTTGTACTTTTATAGTTTCATTATTTTCTATTCAAGTCTCTGATCTAGTATGTGTTTGTTAGGGTATGTGGTATGAAACAGGGCCCTAAGTGTATAATTTTAAATGTTTATCCAGTTGTTGGAAGCACTGTTTACTTAAAGGCTACCTCATGCCTAGAGATGAGATACCACCTTCATGGTAGTTAAATGCCACCCTAATATTATTCCAAGTTTCTATGTGTATATCTGGGTTTATTCTAGATGCTCCACCTCTGTTCTTTGGTCTCTCTATACATGTGCCAGTACCACATGTTTTACTTATATAAAGCCCATATATAGAGAGACTTTGTAATTATATAGAGACATTATAATACTGTGTAGCCTAGCATCTCTTTCCCATCACTCATCTGTCTTCATAGTTTGCTAGCCATTTTGTATATTTATTAAAAATCTATAAACTAAGGGATCAGTTTACTTCGTTTGATACAAATTCATTTACATTTTTGAGGAGATAGTATTTAGGGATTTATTTACTTACTTATTTACTTTGCTACTGAGGATCAAATTCACAACCTCGCGCTTGAAAGGGAGGTACTATGCTACTGAACTGTATCTCCAGCCCTCAGTGTTTGGTCTTTAACTTGAGAAATTTGTTATTTATGCTGCTAATATCCTATCCTAGAACAATATATAATAGTGCACCTGTAAGTTTCAGCAGTGTTCTAAAGTTTTCCTCATTTTTAAGGAGTATATGTTATAGTATCTTATTTTTGTGCTGTTGCCATTATCGTTGAACTTTTTTCTTCTATAGTATCTTTTAACCAGTTATTGTAGATATATGGGAAAGCTCTTGATTTGCATGTTAATTTTATATGTTGATTTCCTGGTGAATTCTTTTATTGTTTGGGTTGTTTCTATCATTGATCATCTTGGGGTTTTCAGGTATAAATTGTGTCCTAAGCAGATAGTGATAATTTTACTCTTTCTGCTCCCATTTTAGGGGTCTAATTAGTCTCACTTTCTGATTGCACTGGTTAATACTTTCAGATTGAAGAGTGGTGGCTTCAGCAATCATGCTTGCCTTGCTTTTGACTATCACACAGATGTCCTCAGTGTCCCCACACTTTAAAATGTATTAACTTTGGGGCTAAAGTATAAATCGTTTATTTTTTTCTTTTTACTCATAAATTTCATGATCTAAAACATTGGATTTTTCTTTTATTTAGCTTCCAGAAAAGCGTCCTACTTTTCAGCAACTCTTGTCTTCCATTGAACCACTTCGGGAAAAAGACAAGCCCTGAGGAAGAAATTAGGAGCTCTGATGAGAATGAGTAGATATTGGCCAACATTTTCATTCATTTTAAGGAAAGTAGCCAGGCCCAATGGAAGTTAGCTCATTCTTAATAGTGTTCTGTGTGTTATTTGTTTCATTATCTAGAAATAAGCAAAGTAGAAAGCAAAATTGTCCATGAAATTTAGGTTGAATTTGTAATTTTGTTTATGCTGCTCTTAATGTAACACTTCCTAGCCTATAACAGGAATGTATTTTCATATTGCAATGTAGAGAGGATGTGTATGATGTGAAAGGTTTGGGCAGCACTGGAAATTACTTGTTGGATACTTACTTTTTTCTATTCTCATTATCCTGATAATTAAACATACTATCAAAAACAGAAATGTAGACTTTTGCCTTCATATTTCAATGGCCTCAAGCTTTCCAAAGCACGAAAATCAAATGAAGAAATTATTAAAACACAGACTCCCAGAACAGCCCCCTCCACAGATTCTGATAGAGCAGATCTGAATGCAAATGGTGAGTCTGTATTTTTCACCAACTCCCAGATCTTGCTGATGCAGTCGCACTGAACTGTCCTAGGACATCTCATTACTTGTTATGCAGTCCATAATTCAATCCAAGTGGCACAATTGTCATCTGATATTCAGATCAGAACGGTGAGTCTTCATGTCAGCATGCACACAAATATAATATTAAAGTTAAATAATATTACCCAATATATTAAATATGTCACACACAAATAGTCAAGAAAGATAGTATGCAATTTAAAATCTATTACACAAAGGAAATGCAAGAAATCAAATTTAGCTCATTTACTTAAATTTACTTCTTGGAAAACATAATAAAATTATGCAGATTTCGATTCAGCAATTTCATGAATCAACTTCTTCACTAGGTTTCTGGCAATCTTGATTTAGTACAGCAAGATGGTCTTAAGTTATTCAAACAGTTCCTCAGAGGTTTGTGTTCCCGGGTAGCTGCGTGACACTCTGAAAGTCTGTTTTTATTGAAGACAAAGTATTCTGGCCCATAGCTGAACACAAGTACTTTAAGGGGAACATGAGAGTAAACTAAAACTATGACAACAAAGAAATAACATAGTCATGGTTATCATCTGGTAAGTAGTGAAACTCATGAATTTAAACAATTAATATGTGTTAATAATTACAGTGATGAAAGATCTGATGAATTTATTACAACAATATGCTGACATAGAATTTTGATACCTTTTACCTTAACTTTCAACTTACCCATAATCAGTCACAACTCAGTGTAACCATGGTCTTATTTCTAAGATTAAAGATGGTCTCATTCTAAATTTTTGAGTTTGGGGCTCTGGGGCTTCAGGCTCATGTGTCAGCCAAATTTCTGTTTCAGTCTTTTATTTTAAAGATACAGAAGTACTGATTTAGCTTCTCATAACTATTTTTAAAAGGTATTTTAGTTTTAAATTCTTCCTGGGAATGTGCTCCTTCATGACCTTCTGCTGACCCATAGGTTTTATCTCAGAACATTTCATTGTCTTTTCCACGATGTCAGTAAGGGAAAGGGAAAGTTTGTGCAGAGGGCACTATTATAATAACAGCACCCCTACTGCTATTTTCAGATAAAAGTAAATAACTCGCCCTAAGAGATAGTTAGACCCTTTTTCTTCCCACTCACTCTTTCTCCTATCTGATAGCTCGAATGTTCCCTCTTTCTTATTTCCTGACACTTAAAAATTCTTTCATTTCAAAGAAAATTAGCATGAGATATTAGTCTTCTACTTTTCAGAGAGGTATATAAACTTGGGGTACATTGAAATGTAACTTTGAAAATAATCAATAGAGTATTTGTATACATCCATCCAATGATTTGTTTAGTATTTTCTAGGTGCCAGGTCCCCCCCCCCAAGGGAAATGAAAACACAAATTACACAAACCTTCCTTCTCAATGGCCTACCCTCAGGTGGGGCATCAGGCTTTCTACTCGCTCAGATGTTGTCCAGCAAGAACCTGTACCACATCATGCTGACCTTTCTTTCTGACCTCCTTCTTCAAGGTTGTTTCCTTTCTTCCTTTTATTTTTGTATGTTTGATATTTGAAAAAAATCTGCTTTATAACAAAAGTAATACATGCTTATTGCAAAAATTCAAATAACACAGGATTATTTGCTGGGAAAAGAAACCTAAGCCTTAATTTTAAAAAAGATGAAAGATAAAAATAATGATGCAGAGAAATTTTTAAAAAGCCAAAGCCTTGCTTAGAAGCCTGGTTCCAGCAATTAAGTCAAGCAAGAATTTAAGATGCTGTGAGAGGTTTATCAGAAAATAAGTCCTCTGATGTCAGGAGGAGCCAAATGAGGAAGAATGTTCATACTATTTTAAAACATTCATAACAATTTTTAAAATGTGTTTCAGCTGTGCTTTATGGTGATATGCACATTTATTGTTATAACTTTATGTGTTTTTTTTTTTTTTTTGTCTTTTTATCGGTACCGGGGATCGAACTCAGGACTGCCTGCTTAGGCGCTTATGCCACTGAGCTAAATCTCCAGCCCCTATTGTTATAACTTTAAATCAAGAGTCTGCTTATACTTTCTAAGGAGTGAAGAGAAAGGCAGACTTATGATAAGAAATTTCCCAAAGGACAAGTCCAAGAGCAACTTCACGTAAAGCATTTACCAGGTTAAATTCAAAAGTCAAACATGAAGTCCAGCAAAACTCATATCATATTAACTTGAGTTAATCAAGACAAAGGTTTCAACATAATAGATATGGAAAGCAGAGTTTCTTAGTTTTTATTCTGACTTGGGAGTAGGTATATAAGGAAGAGAGATTGGATCACAGGCCCTATCATTACCTAAATAGGCAAGGGGTGAATCTCAAATGAAGAAAAATTCATCGAGGGACATCACGGATGAAGAAGGCAGAACCTTCCCTTTCTAGCCTGATTACTTCCTGTGCCAACTCAACTCCATAAAAACCGTTAAATTCTCAGGAAGGAAACACTCAGAGAATAGCTTCAGATTCCATAAATAAATGTCTCTCAGGTCTCTAAGCTCCACATGGGTCTCCTACATTTCTAGTTTCATTTCATCCTTGGTTCCTTATAGCCCAGAGCTCAGCAAAGTTAGCCTGTAAAAGACTTTGTGGGCCATACCACCTCTCTATCAACCACTCAGCTGTACTTGGTAGCAGGAAAGCAGCCCTAGACAATATGAAAATGAATGACTGTGGTTGGGTTCCAATAGGCACTGAAATTTGAATTTCATATCATTTTCATATGTCCTAAATATTATTCTGTTTTCTTCCCCAATCATTGAAAATTACAAAAATCATGGCGAATTCATAGTTCATACGAAAACAGGTAATGAGCAGGATTTGGCCCATGGGTCATAGTTTGCCAACTCTCGCGTTGGCCTGGGTACTGGACCCTCTTTGTAGAGTTTCCATCCCTCAGAGGATGTCATTGCATTAGTGAAGAACCGCAAGCCCTACCTGGTAGGCAAAATGAGGACTGTGTTTAAAAACCTGTAAGATTAAATCAGGAAATGAACAGGTTTTCCTAATTTCTTTGTTACAGCTAGGCATTGTTGTCAATGAAATGGATACTCAAATGAGGAGAAACTGCTATTGTATGTTCCTCCAAGCTATGGGCCCAATGAATGGCAAGATGGCGAGACAGGTGGATTAAGGAAGCTTGAGTGGAAAGGCATGGGTCCAAGGCAAAAACAAAGAGTTCTGTCATTGCTACCTGAGTACCAGACAATTAAAACATGCTGAAGAACCTCAAATGACCCAGCCTCATTTGATTTGAGGCTATTTTATAGAGTTTTCTGAAAGTCATCCTCCCCTGACCTAACTAATTGATCCACCATTATCATTATCACATTGAATTTATTAAGGGTAAAGTCACTGTTACATTATTTTGGTCAATATATAGTATGACTTAATGGGTAAAGTTTGGACATGTTAATCTATTTAACGTAGTTTTAATCAGTCTCCAAGTATGCAGTGCATATGGTACTCAGAACTAGGCTGAGGACTGAAAAATATAAAAGCAGTACTGGGGTACTAGGTTTGGCTCCTAATTTGGGGATGTATACACTCTGAACACAATTCTTTTTTAACTGATTTTACAATTGCTTGTCTAAGAAGGCAATTTGAGGATTTAGGATACATCATAAGTCATCTGGTGGTCAAAGGTTCCTGACAGTCAGGTGACAGTTTTGTCTAAGGAAATGAAGAGAAGACAGAATGTGTAGGAGCCCCAGTACGCAGATATGCAGAATACCACAGGAGTGTGTATTTATTGAGTGCATGCTTTGTGCTCAGCACTACTCAGACACTATGGGAGAATATAAAAGATTTAAGAGATTGAGTGTTCACATCAGAGGGGAAATATTCAGTTGGAATTTCAATGACTCTATGTTTAGGGAATAATGAAAGCCAGTTTCCTTCAGGCATGTTCTGGGGATTCATGGAGGTCCTGTGCTAGCGTTGTGTTGTCAGGAAGATGTTGACCGAGCAGCTTGAAAGTGAAAAGGCAGCGTCCCCTATCCACACTTTGGATTCTCCTTTTTCTTTCTGTAGCCCTGCCACCCTGAAGTAGCCATGGTCCATTCAAACATCACTGTGGGCAAATTACTATAGAGCTTGAACAGAGTTGATGTAAATAAAACATGTCCTCCTTCATCCTTCTCAATTGAATTAAATAAAAGTGAATAGTGGGTCCCATCTTAATCTATGTAGCTCCAACAGTTTGCCAGCACAGATTTTATACAAGCCCCAATTATTGTTCTCATAACATAGTGATGTATCCTTTTTGCTTTCCAACTCTAGTTATTCAATAGACTGTATGTCCACTATCCCTGGGCAGCCTGTGAGGCCAAAGACATATAATCTCTACTTTATTCTAATACAAACATGAGGAACTAGAAGAGAAATCAAGTCCTGAGGCAGAAATAAATACTGAAAGCCACATCAATAAAGATGCCCACTCCCCAGTCACAGTGTCTTTGGTCAACTTTTCCTGAGCACAGCCATAGTTTTGATATTTAATGACACCCTCATAACACATTTTCTATACTGTGAAACTAACATGTCTTATAGTAAAAATCACCTTAAGAGGAAAAATACAGATTTTTCTAAAATGAAGTCTGATTATCCTCACTGTTTTGGAATGCTGTATTATTTTCTCCTTTACCAATGTCCACAGAAGAGTAAGGGTTTTCTTCTCTTTGTTTCTGCTTTTTCCTGTTAAACAAAACAAAGCCACCTTAATACAGTGATTCTGGAAGGATATTTTTCACTAGCCAGACTGATAAAGATCAGAAAGTTTGATGACACTGGGTTTGGGTTGGAGAAAAGCTTTCATAAGTTGGTGATATGAGTATCCACTGATTCACCCTCAATTGAGGGCAGTATTTGTCAAAATTAGAAGAGTGTAATGGCTTTGAAACAGCTTTTTATTTCTGTAATTTACCTTGAAGCTATATCAGAAAACATAGGGAATTACTTATCTCAAGTCATTGCACCATTTTTATAGACACAAATATTTGGAAAAAACACGCAAGCCCAGCAATAAAGGACTGGTTAACAAAGTTACAATCTAACTATAAAATGAGAAATTACATTGCCAGAAAAAAGGGATACTCTTCATACAACTAATATGGAAAGATCGCCAAAATACATTAAATGGGAAATAAAAATATTCAGAACATTGTACATACATGTAGCTATGTACAGTGGTGCCTTGATTCACAAATGATTTTGTTTGTGAACAATTTGGTTGGCAAACAGAAACGTGGCAAAATTTTGTTTTTTGTTTGTGAACTCTGCATAGAGTGGGGAATATGGTCGCAGCCATCTGTCCCGCATGAACAATGAATGGAATCATCTTTTCCAGAATTATGAAATGAATTAAGTTCATGAACCAAGGTGTCACTCTACAGCCAAGAAACTGATATTTTTGTTTGGTTTTAGTAGGGAAGCTTGGAGGCAGAGGATAATACCGACTTTTTACATGTTCTTTCACATTTTACTAAAATTTAACTATCTGACTATGTTACCTAGTCCATGTCTATTTTTTTAAAATACTATTTGGGAGAACCAAAAATATAGTAGATAAAACTGAGTAAAATAGACTAGTACATATAGAGATTCACTCAAGAATATGTTTAAACAACATATAGTGTGGATAGTTTTTTAAGTGCTATAAAATGTTATTAACTTATTTCATAAGCTTAACAAAGGTCAGTTCTTTCTCAAAGTCAGAAAATAATCTAGTGGTAAAAAAAAAAAAAACTAGAAATGAGATTGCAATGAACTTTGATCTTCAACTCAGCAGCAAATTAGAGTTACCTGACCACGAACTAAGGTGACATGGAATTTGAACACCCAAGGAGGAATAAAGATGACTCAATGCTCACTCTTGAATGACTCAATGCTCACTCTTGAATGAACGACTTGACATTTTAAGTCCATCACCAACTCAGTCTCTAGGGTCACTTCTACACTAACGGACAATCAGTGTCAAGGACAATCTCCAAGCCCACTGGCCCCTGCCTCTCTGCAGCAGGGAAATGACACTGTGGCTGGGTTGAAGCTTACTAGAGCACTAATAAACCCCAGGGTAGGTATCTACTGCATGGGCTTGCCAGAAGGTGAAATGAAAAGAAGAGGAGGAGAATGAGGAGGAGGAGGAGAAGAAGAAGAAGAAGTAGAAGAGGAAGAAGAAGAGGAAGAAGAGGAGGAGGAGGAGGAGAAGGAGGAGGAGGAGGAGGAGGAGGAGGAGGAGGAGGAGGAGGAGGAGGAGGAGGAGGAGGAGAAGGTGAAATGTTGAGACCATCTGATAAATTTCTAGGGAATGCATCAGAATATTTTTAGGTGAAAATCTGTCCAACTTATTGCCCTAGATAGCCTGCTAGTTATTCCACATTTTCCAATTGGTACTCTAAATCTTTCTGTTTTAAGATAGGTAAGTCTAGGAAATGACACTTACTTCCTTCGATCTCTGATCCCAGTGATGACTAGGACGACAATGCCAACCACTACCAATCCCATCACAACACCAAAAACAATCAGCCATATGGTGACAGGTGGCTCGTAAGGAGGACTAAGTGTCGGATAAATCCCCAGAAACTCCAGAGTGTTATCATCCAGGCGAAAAACGTCATTGATACGACTCCGGGACAGCCTGTTCTCAAAAGCAAAGCACAGCAAAGAAGACATGCAAGCAAAATAAAATTGTGTGTAGTTATTTACTTCTTAAATCTTTGCAAAAGGATTTTATAAGGCTTCTCATAAGAATGTATTTCTTAAAATAACAGTGAAATTGAAGTAGATAATCAGATCCAAATAAAGATAGGAATTTTTTACCATTATGTACCTTTCATACCTTTCAAGAGAAATTAGATGTGTCAACAGTGTGACTGGAAAATGGAGTCACAAATGTGCAAATGTGCAAATGGTTGGTGTTTGTTCATTTGTGATCCTGTGTTAGCATACAGTTGCTTTGTGACTACAAAGTTAGCATATTCAAAAATTTCCATTTGTCAGTGTATCCACAACCACTTTATATAAAATAATAAAAAATTGGATATTCCTCTTCTACAATTCTTTCATACCCCATACCCAAGTCCTTGTAGAATTTTCCAAATAAAATAGTTGGCACTTGGCAGCAGCATTGAGAATAACACAGGGAAAGAATCTTTGCCATTTCTCCAGCAATGGGATGAGAAATAGGTAAATTTTATGGAAGAAAAAAGATGAGGATTATTTAAAACAAAATCAATGAAAAAGAAAATATTCTAAATTGAAAATTAAAGTGTCTAAAATCACATCCTGATACCCTTGCAAATAGCCTAGATCTGGAGGTCAAAGTCCAATGGAGAGAGCAGGAAGTCAAAGCAGAATTAACCATGTAACTCCTGACAACCTCAGGGGCTCCTTTCTCAAGTCATACTAGAAACAGAAAGTTTGAGATCCCCTTGTTGCTTACAGCTGCCTATCCAAGAAGGGAAGGCTCTTTCATGCGAATCTCAGCCATCATTTTTTTCTAAGAGAAACAGAAGTGTTTTGGAAGTAGTGAGTAGATATATAGGTATAGTTGAGTCATAAACCCCAAGCAAGCCAGATTTTCTAGGCAAACCCTGCCCAGCTGGTCTTAGATCGGCTTTCAAAGGTAAACAGGACTCACTGATGCAGCTCAACAGGGTCATCTAGTGAGCTGCCCAGTAGCAGTGGGTATACCAAGCTTTTTTTTTTTTTAAGTGACAAAGGGCACCAACTACAAAGTCAATCCACTCTCCATTCCTGCCATCTTGTGGGGAAAAGCCAGAGCAAATTAGACAAACTTTATTTTTTTCTAAAAAACTCAGTGCCCATAGTAAGACTTTTGCCTAATGTGGAGGCCACCCAACATCTGAGAAATCCTGTTGCCTACCTGGTTTCCGGCTTTAGGCAATTAAATGAACACCAACATCATTGTCCTTACAGCAAATGATGGCAATACCTGCCTATGTCTCCTCTCCACTTAGTGTTTGTTGCATATATTAGACACACTGTCTTTAGCCAGCACCTACTTCTTGCCTGAGAGCATTGTCAGATCACAAGATATGCCCTGCCTGCAGGCCAGAAATGCTGGGGAATTAATGTCATCTGGAAGCAGTTTCCAGCCAGGCTGTTGGGAGGTGATGAATAAATATCCCAACTCCCTCAGCGTTCGGATGGAACAACTCAGGTGCATATTCTACAGTCTCCAGGGTTGCTTAACAAGACTGAGCTCTAGTTGCTAACAGTAATAACTTGCTTGATAAGGTATAACCAACTGTCTTCCTTCCCTTCTCATTCCTGCCCACGTTTTTCCTACCAGTGCCTCCCAAATAAACTACTTATACTTAAGCTCTCATCTAAAGCCTGCTACTCAAGGAACCCAAAGCAAGATAATTCTTCTGGAATCAAAACTCAAATTTGTGGGACAGAGCAAAACATGCAAATGACTCAAAGCAATGCCTGTCACAAAGAAAAAGTATACTAAATATTCACTATTTTTGTTGTATTGGTTAACCCCTTCACCTTATATAGTTTGAAAGTAAAATGTCACCTGATAGCATCTTCAACTTCAGTCTTAGGAATGATGTTAGATACATTATTAGGTTCAGTGACAAAGAAGGTGAAGGAGACTCTGTGTGTCCAATCACTCACCCGTACATCTTCCCAGCTGTGGAGAAACAAAAGAAACATCACTTTTTTGGCATCTAGGACACAATAAAGAGAGTTGGTGTTGGTGAAAAGGAGACTAGGAGAGGATCACAGGATAGAGAGATACAGGACAGGACAAAAAATGGGAGGATACAATTGTCAAAAATTAACACTGCCTGAAGCACATGAAATCAACTACAGAAAAGTTTGATATCAAGTTTTAGCACTATTTGTTCAGTTATTATTATTATTAAAAGTCACATTTTTTCAATGATAGAAAAAATGCCAGTTAAATGTATCAAGAGAATAATCAAGCAAACATTGGTGAGCCAGGATTGTGATAAGCTTTGCTAAGTTCAGATCTAAAATATCCTCCAAATGTTACATGTGTTCAGAGTTGGCACTTCTGGAAGGTGATTAGATCATGGGGGTGATAACCTCATTGCTGATGAAGTCAGAGCTGAATGGGCTATTAGGAAGTGGGGCCCAGTAGAGGAAATAAGTCACTGAGGGCATGCCTTGGAAGGGTATATCTGGTCCCTGGATCTTTTCTCTAGCTCTTGCTCTCTGGCTGCCATGAGATGAGCAACTTTCCTCCACCATGCTCTTATGCCGTGATGTTTCTGTTTTGAAGTCAACCAACCATGGGCTGAAAATCAAGCCATGGGCCAAAATAGAGCTTTACTCTTTTAATTGTGTGTGTTGGGTATTTTACTCCAGCAATGGGAAAGTGATCAATACAAATATGGCAGGCAGAATTTCCTGGTACCACAGACAAGGATGGTATGTTTACATTTCCTAATAGGCCTGATCCGGCAAAAATACTGTTTTATCCATGGCTGAAGTTTTTTTTAGTAGCTGTTAGTATATAACATGGTGAGATTGTGCTCCCAAAACTTCCAGAGTGATCCTGCTTCATATACTTGCCCAAATATTAATGAGATCTTTTCTGACCACTTTTGGTTAAAATGGAGCAACACATGCACGTGCACACACACACACACACACACACACACACACACACCAGCACTCCCTGGCCCCTTTCCTAGTATATTTTCTCTCTAGAAATTATTAGCATGTAATTTCACTGTATTTCAGTTATATACTAAATACACACACAGACACACACGCACACACGCACACACACACACACACACACACACACATACATACATACATACATACACACCAGAATACAAATTCAGTGAAGGCAGAAATTCCTGTTTCCTTGTCTTTCAGTCCTCAGTATAAGCAAGGGCATTTAAAGAAGAGAGAGCTGATAATTAGAACAGTCTTGCCATCTACAAGACTAAATAAACTACAACCATCCCTAAATGGAGTAACCCAAATTCCAGGATGCCAAAGAAGTTCAAAAGTTATTAGGAGGCTTTTCTTAATTTCACTTAAAGAAAGCTTAAGCAGAATATTTCTTCAGACTCTAGAGGAAAGAAATTGCTGGTTGGAGAACCTGAAAACCTAGAGAATGAACTCACCTAAAAAGAACCGTCTGATTTTTCACATCCAAAAAATACTTTCTCATGGCATATGCAACTGATGATCGGAACAAGTACATTTCATTATCATCCCATTTGTACTGCAAATTCAGAAAAAAAGACACTGTTCAGTGGGGATCATAAGGTATGTTTAATACCTGGTACTCCTCAAATATTATTGCTAGTATCCACTGGACTTTCACTTTAATCAGTTTCACTAGTTATCACAAGTATCACTAGTCCTTTCACTTTAATTTTATCGAAATTGGCATAAGTATCCTGATGCTTGGTTTACAGATGGGAGTCTGCCCTTCGGTTTCAGTTAAACTATCTACTGTATGGACAAAGATTTACTTTACTAGGAAGTTCTCAGATACATATATAAGTAAAAAAAAAAAGACAGAAATTTGAGGTTCAAACAAAAATAACATGTCATAAGCAACATGGTAAGACATTCCTGTTCTCTAGCTCTAAACAAATTGCTTGCATCTTTGCATAGCTTTTGAAAGGTTTGCTAAGTGGGAAAGCAGTCACTCTTCCCTCCAGCAGCTGGCAGTAGAGATCAATGAATGGCACATGATTTGTTTCTCCTTTTCCTTTTAGGGCCAAAAAGGTATATAATAGGATTTCACAAAAGATTTGTTAACATTCACCTCAGCTTGGTTTTACTCAGGTTTTGGGAGGAGGAGGTTACCTTGATAGTAGCAACAATATCATTAATATTGTGACTATGTAAATTTTTTTTATTATTTTCAGATTTCAAAACTTTTTAAAGGCTGACTTCTCAAAATAATGCCATATATCCAGTTGTCGTTCACTATGATATACCTTGAACCTGCAGATATTCTGGCCCCAGTGAGTATATGCACTAAAATTTCAGTTCCACTCTTATCAAAACAGAGTGTTACTCTACTAATTGGCCTTAGACTGTTCCATCATCAAGCTCTCTGAAAACTATTTACCAGCCCCTCACTATATAAAAAGAGAACCTGAGCCATACATCAAGGAAGAAAAAGGTATCTGGGAAAGATCTTGATTTGTGACTTTCTTAAATTTTCACTTTCTTATCTCTGTGCCATTTATATTTTGATGTGTTGTTTATCTAAGAAAATTGTACCAGAAGTATTTTGGAGTCTTAAACAATATTTAAACTTTTCAGGAAAAGTAAGGGGGTAGAACACAGTCTACGGATCTATACAATGAGAACAGTTTTCTGTTGCACCTTGGATCACTTTATCTGATAGTCCTAGGTTGACTTCTAAACTTGTCAAACCTTGGAGCTACCACACCCCACTTAGGTCTCATCTCTATCTGCCTGGGACTACCTGCTCTCTCCCCTTTCCGAAAAGCTACTACTGCACTTCCTCAGACTGGACCGCCTGCGAGAGGTGATCAAGACTGAGCAATCTCTGGTTAAACTAATTCGCATCAAGGTGTAAATAAGAAGATTCTTCTGTAAAACATTTTGTTACCCTAATATGCATCTGTAAGTCAGGGGTTCAGATGCTGCTGGCCCATGGACCACACTTTGAACACAATCAAGATAGAGAAGATTTACCAAAATAAGCAAAATGACCCTACACATTCTACTTCTAAAAACAAACTTTCAAAATATCACGTCCTTTTTCTTGACTACAAGTAACAATGATAAGCAAATTGGAAGATGGGAGATTTGATAGTTAAGGATTTGAACAGAAGTGTTCACACTGATCTGCATAATCCCTTCAAAGTAATAAGTAAAAATAGACATTGCCTATCCAATAATGAATGAACTAATAAAACATGGAAATGCTGAAGGCCAGAATCCAGGGCATAGATTTCTAAAGAGAACAATGTGGCCTCTCTTCTTTTAGACAAATCACGTGGAATGGGCGTATTGTGTCCTGTTGAAGGAAGAAGAATACACTAGGAAATAATGAGTGCTCCATCCAGGATACTCACTGCATCCTCTCCAAGAGCTGATTTTAGGCTTATCCTCACTTTGATGCTTTCTTCAGAATCTGATTAAACAGAAATAGCAGACTATTGGTTTCTGGTGTCAGATGGATCATATGTGTTTATTTCCTTCCTCTCCCAAGATCCCACTAAAGTGACAGTAAAGGAATTTTGAAAAGGTATAATACCTTTGGAAAATGAAACAAAATAAAATGATAGGAAAGGAGTAGCTGCTTTCTGAGGGGACAGGAAACCTTGGTTCAAAGAAGTTCATATAGACCCAAGAATAACCAAAGAATCGCAGAGAAGCTTAGGATTCAGGTATTGCTAAGGGTAGGAAGAGGTTACTGGGATGAAAACACGGAGAAGGAACATCAAGGTGTGGTGAAAGCCTCTTTGGGGAACAGTCGATCCTCCCACCCAATGGGCCTTTACTCAGTCATTTGGAGACTGTGTTACTGCAAAACAAGAGATCATCTGAGTAAGAACACTTAGAATCCAACAAACAATGGATTCAGCCCAGGACAAAGACAAAGACATAACGCAGGAGGAAAATTGTGATCCAGATTGTGACAGGAGGGTGTGACTCCAAGATGGAAGTTTCTAGAAAAAAAATGAGAATGAAAAGAATAGATACATTGGAATAATTGGGAAAAAATCAATGCAATGTAGATAGCAAATTGGACATGGTCAAAATATTGAGGCAAGTAGAAAAACTGGGGCAAACAAGCTACATAATAAGATAGGATACAAAATAGTACATTACTTGACTCTGCGGACAGAGTGATATAAACACTGATAACTACTTTACTAAAAATCATGATAAGGCTTTACTGTGAAAAAGTAGAATAGTTAGAAGTGTAGGTCTAAAACTGAGCAATAGCAGAATAGCAATAGAAGCACAGTATTTAGAAATATGAGAGTAACTTCTAAAAGAAGTAATAATAACCTTCTATTTTCATTAAGTGTTCAAAGAGCAAGATTCATGTGTAGTGGACTGGAGACTGCTATATTCTTTTATTTTAAACATGAGACTAATAAAATACTTGAAAGAGTGTGAAGTGGAGCCAGATGCAGATTCTACATAGCGAGAACATGTACTCATCAGGTCATAGCCGCCCTAAGTAGGGACCAAAGAAGACTAGAGAAAGAAGACAGAGAGTGTGCAAAACATGTGGACTCAGGGTACTCACACGGACTCCACTCAGTGTTCCACCCCACAAAAGAATTCCTGTTTTGGTCTTGCAGCCAGGTAGACAAGGGCTGAAAGTAGTTAAGCAGCGGTTTTACATCCATATTCTTTGTTCCTACAATACTTTCCAATGCTAAGGTCCAAGGTTCTGATTTTCCAAGTTTCAGCATATTGCTACACGAAAAAAAAAAAAAAAAGAAAGAAAGAAAGAAGGGCCTTTTGAGAAAGTCCAGATATACATATATTTATGTTTATGATCTGTAAGTTACTTTCCTCGACTTGTGTAAATTTGCTCCTGGCAGACATGAAAGTGAGGTATATTGATGAATCCTTCAATCTCGTTTTCCAGTTACTACAAAGAGAGCTCTGTAGTATGATGTAGAGAGAGGAAGTGCTCCCCCCCCCCCCGCCAGCCATCTCATGGTGTAGGGTTTTGTCTGGCCACAAATTAAAGATTCACTTTGTGGATGAGGAAAGTTTGAGATCCCCAAAAGGAATCAAATTCAGAACTAGGTGTGGAAATAAGAAATACTGAATACTAGGGAAAAAATCAACATTTTGAGGCATTTCTTACAGCAACTTCTGCCCAGCTTCGGTGGAGTTTGAGATATCACATTTGTGCAGGGGGCCTACATGGTTCGCTGCTTTACAAAGGGCTTCCTGAAACTGAAATTGGTAGATGGTCCTTGTGTAATACCTGTACAAAATACAAAGAAACAAAAATATAGCCCCATGTTTAGTTACTGTGGTAGAGTCATAGATTGGGGCAAATATTTAAATTTTGCAGCTCAAGTAACTAAAGAAATATTAGTCAGATCTCTCCAGAAGGACCCAGTCATGAATTCTACTGACACATCACAAGCTACTTGCATTTTATGTACCAGCTGATAAACAAGGCAATATAATTACTCTGTTATATGTTAGCTTACCTTTGTATTGTTTTATAGATTTATAACCCTTTTGTATAAATGATATCAATCATTCCATATGGTAGGTTGGTAATCTTATTTCCATTTTACAAATAGAGAAACTGAGGCCTAACAAATTCAAAACATTGGGCTAATAGGTGGAGAACATGTTTTTAAACTTCAAGATAAAAATGCTAATCAAATACATAGTGAAATTTGACAGTAATAAGATCACAAACAAAAAACTTTTTGTTTCTCCTGATCACACTATTGATTAAATTTCATGATGAGAAAAGAGCGTACAGAGTTTTAACCCAATTGATTGTTGGGTTAAAGTCAATTGAATTTAAACATTTGCATTGAATTTGGGGTAGGAGGTTGAGTCACAAAAATTATAATTTTCACTTCATTGAGCCTTACTTCTTTGTTATTAGCACAGCTGCACACAAACTCTACAAATTCAACAGAGAGAAGAAAATGATCACTTACCGGATGAATGAGTAATCATTAGAAACATGAAACAGAGACGCAGGGTCACAGTATGTCTCATCATGAGGCAAAGGTTCCACCACTCCAACTATCTCTCGCCTTTGGAAAGAAGAAAAAGAGTGTTAGCTGTGGATCAACCATTCCAAGGAGGTAGAGTTGGACACAACTAGTGCAGTTTCATCAAATAATAGTATTTCTGTTGGAATTGTCAAATGAAATAAGAACAATAAAATATCAGAAAGCACACCCTTTCTGTGGTTACACCTTATTGTTTGCATTCAACCAAAGTATGCCATTGAAAAACATCTATATCTTTTAAAAACTATTGAATAAAATTCATGAAGCCCTGGTAATTCCCTCTCAGGGACCATACTTCATGTGCTCTTGGCAAATGTAATTTTGTAATAGTGAAGTCTTACTTATTCTTCGGAACCTACTGAAATGTCCCCTCCTCTTGTAATTTACCCCTGATGTCACTCACCTTCTAGCACAGTTAACCCCCCAACATTCCTTAGCTTTTTCTAGCTGTGTTTCCCCTACTTATAGCTATTCACATACAACTCTTTCTCATCGTAAGAGACTTGAGCTCCAAAGCGTGCAACTGTGTCTTTCATCATCTTTAGTTTCAGTGGTAAACATGATACCTAACACTAAAGAAAGGCCTCATTTCTATTTGTTGAATGTCTAAAGGAAATACTCATGTATGAATGAATTACTTTCAATGTCTGACTCATATACCTTGAAAATTAAGAAGGATCAAAAAATTAGCCAGAAAAAAGGTAGAAAAGTATTATCTGGCATTGTTTAAAAGAAATACATTTGTACCCTATCATTGTGGGATTGGTGTAAACAACTGCAGTAATACTCAAACTCTAGAAACAGACGTATTATTCCTCCTTCCTCCTGAGTAAGCGTTGTGTTAACACAGAAAAATCTTGGAGGAAGAATGGTACTGACTTATATGTATAGATACGGGATCAAATTTTTACACAGGAGATTATCGCTTCAAAAAGGAAAAATAAGAAAAGCAAAGAAAAAATTGAAAGGCTCTGACTTATATGTGGTGAAGAAAATTCTCTCTCTCTCTCTCTCTCTCTCTCTCTCTCTCTCACACACACACACACACACACACACACACACACTCACACACACACCCTCCTCATAATCACTCATCCAAATCCCATTTATTTCACATCTTATGTTCCTGACATTGTGCAGAGCACTTTGGATACAATGATGTGCAATGTAGTACTGCGACTACTCAAATGGATCACTAGCAGTTGCCTAACTGTGCCAGTTTCAGTCTAGCTTGAAAGTTTCTCTTTCCTTTCATACACTCCTGGTTAATTTCCAAGCCTTTCTCAGGACTCAATTTGGAAGACTATTTTCATAAGATCCCACAAGCTGGGCTTTGGATCTCCCTTTAGACAACCACTAAGCCGTGTAGCCTTCCTTCACATCACTCACTGCAGTGCTTTTATCTTCTACATCCTTCCTTATATTTGACTAAAAGTTTGAAGGAGTTAAGGACCACACCTGAAATGATTAGTATTGGATCCACAGTTCTTTGCCCAAAATGTGAGGTCATCACTGTTACTTAGAAAAATACATAGTGAGTAAGTTGATCATCTCCTAAATAATATCATAATTTAATGAGTGACTCAACAACACCTATCATAGAGCATCGAATAGTGTCACCTGACTCAAGATAAAGGGCAATGCAAAGGAAATTTTATTTGTGGAGATGGCACCCAAATGGCAACTAAAAGCATTAAAAGGAGGCAGTTTGTGTGTGTGTGTGTGTGTGTGTGTGTGTGTGTGTGTGTGTGCGCGCGCGCGCGCGCGGGGCCAGTCAAATACTTTTAAATAAACAGCAAATTCATGAGAAAATATTTTACTGACTGCATTTTCATTGACTTACTTCATCTCCCACCACTTTTTCATCCACTGCTCTTTGGGAATTTCACCCCTGAAGACCATCCACCTCCACTTCTCTAGCATGTAAGTGAAGGGCAAAGTTCCAACAATCGTGAGTGCTTGTTTAAGTAGGAAGTTTATTTCTGTTTCTGAAAGTAAAATGGCAAAGGACAAGTATTAGAATGAAAGTGATAGTATATTTTTAGGTCAAAAAGAAGTTTATTATCTTAACATGTACTTACTGTAAGGATAACATGAGAAACATTGACAATGGACATGTTGATATATATATATATATATATATATATATATATATATATATATATTCATTTTCTCAATAAGGGATTTGGAATAGGATGACATCCTAGAATAAAAGAGTCCTACAAGTTAACCCTAATCCTATTTTTGGTGGTTTCAATTGCCTTAGTTAAACATCCCTTATCACTGTTAATTGGGAGTAAGTCTTCTCCTTTCCAGGCATACTGTTTATTTTTGAAAGCTCTACAAAGCCAGTGACTGTTAATGTGCCATTCAAAACTGCCTACCTAGTCCCATGTCTACTACATAATGCCTTCTTTGAGTCCTTGGTAAATAATCAAACATTAAACAGGTGTGGTAAAAAGACAATGAACCAGGAATGGGAAAGTAAAAAATTCTGTGCTAATTAACAGTACATTAACTATAGATAACAGTGCGTATTGACATTTCAAAAAGCTGAAAGAGGGCTGGAGGAGTCTGGGGTAGAGCACTGGCTTAGCATGCATGAGATTTGTGGGTTCCATATTCAGCACTGAAAAAATAAAATGCTAGAAAAAAAGAATTTGAAAGGTTTCACCATAAAGAAATGATAAACATTTGAAGAGATATGGTTACTTTGATTGAAACATTATAAAATGTATGCATGTATTGAAACATCATATGCAGCCCCATTAATAAGCACAATTTTGCATTTCTATGTGCCATCTAAAAGTTAATTTAATTAAAAATATAAATAAATAGAAGAGCCTCCCTAGAGGGCACCATCCAGTGGACAACCAAAAGTGAAATGTACTTTAATTGTACTGATCTGTTCCTTACTGTGAATTTTAAATGCTTTCACAAGTTATGTAATTTTCTTTTATCCTTTATTAGTGACAAAAAAGGCAGCAGAGTTCTAGTGTACAAAAGAAGCTCACTGAAATGTCAGCAGAGAATGCTATCCACTCTGCACATCTCTGAATCTCTACTGTCTGTAGAAATGCCTTATCCATGGTATGTGCTCAGTAAATATGTGTGGAGAAAGAAAAGAAGAAAACAATGGAAGGAAAAAAGGGAGAGATTGAGGAAGGGAGAAAAGAAGGAACTTATTTAACATCACTCATGGAGCAAGGAAAAGAATGAGATTTTCAAACCAGTGGTTTAACTACATCTAAGATTATTTTAAGAAATACAGCAATTCCATCATCTTTGCCAGCTATCAAGGAATATTAATAATGATAGAACTAATAGGTGTTTATTGGCTTGAATAAATGATTATTAAAATTAGGAAGTAAGTGTATTTGCTACTAACTCTCTTTCCTTTGTTGCTCTCTTCCTGGAAAGCCATCACTACTAATCTATAATCCACTGGATCTGTGCTTATACTATTTCAGACTTGCTGATAGCTTTACACTGGCCTATTCTCAGGCCATCATAAGATCACTAAGGGTCTGGAGCCAGAGATGAAGGCAAAATGAGTCGTCCACACAGGAATGAAGTTCATAAACTTGAACTCATTAACCAAATCTTTCAGCCAGTAGAACCAATCATTAAATTGCAAACAGCTAAAACAAAAGAGAGAAAGATGTGGAATGGAAGACAACATTAGGCTCTAGTTGTCCTTCTTTTACAAGGAAAAAATCAAAATCGTCCCATCTTCACTTAAGAATCTAAATATCTCAAACATTTGTCTTGTTTCATCAAACCCAAGCCATCCAAGGAGAAATGGGCTGCCTTGGGAAAAGAAGCTGAAGGATAGCAGGAGTCTGGAGGGATTCTACAGAGGAAACATGTGCTTCCAACTAATTGAACAAAGATGTCTCAGAACTTTGCAATTTTGATATTAGTTCAACTATTCTTTCAGAACTACAAAATTTCAAGCTGTACTTTGCTTTTCATAATACTCTGGGAAAGGCTTTAGATTAGGGCTTTGGTTCTGGATCTGCCAATATGTTTCTTTTTTATTAGTATGTGTTTGTTTTATATAGTTATATTCATGTAGGGGAATTGGTACATACACATAGTCCATATTGATCAGTTTTACTCTCCTTCCCCATCCTGCTCTCCATTATGTTGCTTTCTGATGTTGAGTTATTTTCCATCTCTTTTCCAGTTTTCTCCTTTATAAAACGGTGTTTAGAATCCATGGTAACCATAATGTATGGGGAATTTTTTCCCGAGAAATGGAAACAGTTACTCAGAAATCTGGTACAAATTAGCTAGATGATCTTGGACAAGACATGTCAACTCTGTGGGACAGGTTTAGCATCTTCAAAAGAATCAACCAAGCTTCTATTTAATGTTTATTAGATTCTCAAAACCATTCATTTAGCTCTTTCTTTTATTGCTTGTTCAAAATACAAAACCACAAATTGGCATGTTCTGATATATACTTCCAAAATATTTTCTACCAGTAGCAGTTCCTGGTTTCTCATAAATATCTTATACCTGATGTGGCAAAAGGTAAATATAAACTATACCTGGTAATGCATACTTTTTCCCACACTATACTAATAAGTACCCAAAACAAGCCATGAAAAAACGTACCATTGTCTTCATGAAAATCAGGTGGCAGTAGACCAATGGACTTCAGATGCTCAGGTGTAGCTGCAGAAAGTGACATTATTTCCCCAATAGCTTCATGAAACCCTTCATTAGCTCCATCTCTTAGCAGGAATGGTTGAATGGCATATGCCATATCATACTGAATGTGTCCCATCTCATGGTGGGCTGTCAAGAAGTGGTCCATTGTCACCTTTGTGCACATCTTGATTCTGCACAAAAATGAGCAAGACGAAAATGAATCTCATTGAATTTCATTTAATCATGATAATACAGTTGTATGAAGTTTTGGTAGCGTGAATTCCCTTTCCAAGACTTACTCACCATTGAATCTTGAATATCTACATCTTCTGTCCTTAAGTACTATTGCTCAATATAAAGTGATGGGCAAGGCAGAATCATATTCTCTTGCTCATACTAATAGGAAAAGAAGTAAGAATTCTATGCTATAGAAACTCTGAAGCAGATACTCTATCAGTGAGCAATAGTTATGACCAGGGTTATAACAATGAGCGAATATAAGCACAGTCTCCTACAAGCACTAAGAAGAGCATAATTGAGAATGTCATGGGCAGTCTGGACCTTGACTGATGTGCAGGGGTTTGCCAGATAGAGGGTGGGATTCCTGACATTCCTGGCAGTCTTATAATAAAAGCTTGAGAAAAATAAGACTTTGTGGACACTGCAAACAGTTCAACAGAGCCAGAATAGATAAATACTATCAGGGGCTGGAAATTTAGAATCAGGGATCATTAGTAGGTAAGTTAAGGAGTGGCTTTGATGGGTCATAAAGCAGGATAGAATGACAAGAAAGAGGACCAAAAACAAAGCTTTAGAAGGTCCTAGTACCTGAGTGTCAGGAAATGGAAATGGTTCAGGGGAAATGGAAAAATTGCAATCAGAAAGGTCAAAGGAGTCTGGAAGAGGATAATGATGTAGAAGTCAATGAAAAATGGCATTTGAAAGAAACCTGAAATATTGTCTACTGCCCTGTGGCTCAATGAAGTAAGTACTACATTTGGCAGTTAGGTGGTTCTGCAACTTGGCATGAACATTTTCATTTGGGTGAGTATATGGATCATACATCAGTAGATTGCCCAGTTAATTTTCCTACCACTCTGTGTCACTTTCTATAAATACATTTTAAGGACACTTCACTGCCTAAGAGTAGACAGCCTCCTATATACACCCTAATGTGACATGAACTTGCTTTACTAATGATTTCTGTTACCTTTTGAAGCCATTATAAAAACCATTATACATTTCTTGTTTACGGTATGTAAGATTACGTGTATGGAAACTTACATATATTTCCTACTATTAAGCCTGTTTCTAGTACCAGGGTTAGTAAACTATGGGCTGATGCCTGTTTTTATGAATAAAGTTTAATAGGAACACAGCCAAGCCCATTTATTGATGGATTTTCTATGGATCCTTTCATGAGTTTGAGTAGATGAAAGACAGACTTTCAAAACCTATGCTCTCTACTATCTGGCTTTTGTGCAGAAACAGACTGCTGGTCCCTACTCTCATGGGTGCTGGTGGTGCCCTGCCCTGATCTATTTTACCAGGCATATCCAGCCCATCCAACCCTCCCCCACCCCACTACTCAAGTCATAGCTAACAAGGGCCAACAATTGCTTTTTCTTTTCAATGCTTTGGCCAAATGGGAAGTACCTCAGCCAGGAAGTTGTCCCCCTACACTTTGGAGAATCCGTAGCCAATGATTTATAGAGAGTATAAAAGGCCATCCCTCTTATCTTCAAGTATGACTAACTCTGGTTCAAACTAGGCTCTAGTGGTTCATAGGATCAGGCTGAGGCCAAGTCTCCAGCACAGACTGTATCTTTAGCTATTATTTCCCTTCACTGTCCCAACCTGTTTACCTCAATCCCCTGTGCCTGAAACCTCTCGTCCCACAAATCCCTTATACAAAAAACTCCAATTCAGTCTATGAAATCCAACCTAAGACACTCAAAAACCTGCCTCCCAGGAATTATTGTTCTGCTTCATAGAGAAGGAAACTGAACCCCAAAAAGTTAAATACTTTGTCCAAGATTGCCTGGTCACTAAATGACACATCTAGGATTCCAAAGCTTTTTCTTATTCTACCACATCACACAGACTTTCCTTCACATACTTACTATTCTAGTTTAACTTGCTGACTCCAGTATATCTGCCGCATCCTGCCTCTCTACACCTGACCCTGCTGTTCTCCTGGCCTGGTACCCTCCCAGTTGCCTGTCCACAACCTTCTTGTATTTTAAGCCAAATTCCAGTGCCACCCACAAAGCCTTGCCTGATCCTGTCTCCTGTTCCAGGTGTGGTCAATTTTCTCCCAGTTTCTCATAAAGCATTCTGTGTCTTGATTATGACATGTTCTGCTTTCTCCCTTTTATGCCGGCTTTGTAATCACTTATGTCATTTCACTCACAAGAAAACACGAAGCAAATTAGTTTCTGAGTCACTCCATGTTCCATAATTCTCAGCACCAAACTTTTCATAATCTATGATCATGGCACCACCATGATCATAGAACTACAATATTTCAAAATGAGGCAAATCTAAATGTTCGAGGTGGGGCCTGCTGGTAATCTTCTATTCCCAGGAAAGCCCAGATGTGTTTTTATGGATTCCCAGTCTCAGTTCAAGTACGGTAATTTCATCCTTTCTGTGCTGAAAGAAACAGAGAAGGACTGCCTGGTTTCTTTGTCTCCCATGATATATGCACTGGAAGTATCAGCTCAACTACCTGAAGTCGTTCTTCCCCATGTCCCAAGCTGTGGGGTGGCAGACCACTTTCTGACCATCTCCTGGCTCAGTTAGCATGGAGTTTTTCCAGAATCCTTGAGTCATAGGAGGAAGACCAACAGATACAAAGAACTTCTCAGCCTCTTTGAATATCTTCTCTGCATCCCAGGACTGGTGGGGGGGGGGAAGAACAGTATTTAATTATAGCATTAAAATAGCAACATTCTTTCAGTTGGATACACACATTGGACAGTTTTTAAATGTTTACATTCTTTGTCCCATAACCCTCTCTGTAGAGAACTAGTCTAGGAAATTTTCAAAAACTAGGTCAAAGAATTACATTGTCTGATTTTTTAATAGAGAAAAATTGAAAGCAACCACCAGAAAAACTGGAAGCAACCATCCTTAAACTAATAATGTTATCCTTGGAGAATGGAATTGTGCCGCTATCCAGATTATATTTAAATAACTTTCATTGGTATTATAAGATACAATGTAGTAGTAAATGAAAAGGTAAAATATACAAACCATTCACGTAGTACACATCTTGATAAGGAAATACTGTATGTGAAAATATTAACAGTAGACCTCAGTGAGGCCTGTGGGGACTGGGAGTTCTCACCCAGGGAGCTGCCCACATCCAGGATCCATCTCTGAAACCCATAGGGGCCAAAAGTCTGCACCCACCACCCCACAGTCATCTGGGAACCCTTGATGAGATTTTTGGGGAATGAAAGTCTGCACCCAGTGACACGCTCACATCCAGGAACCATCTCTGAGGCTGCAGGGACCAGGAATCTGAACCCAATGACCCACAGTCATCTGAAAACCCACAGTGAGGCCCACAGAGACTTGGAAACTGCACCCAGAGACCCACTCACACCTAGGAGCCATCTTGAAGCCCACAAGGCCTGGGAGTTTCAGCTAGAGACCTGCGGCCATCAGTAACCCTCAGACGGGCTGCCAGCACAGGAAGCAACTACTACTTGGCATCCAGCTGATTCAGAGGAATACAGGAAAATGCCAAAACAAAAAAAAAAAAAAAAAAACAAAATGCAATCTCAGACTTCCAGCCCATCCAGATCCAGTACAGGAAACATAGATGTGGATGAATTTGGAAATTACATAGTTGAAATTTCTGAAATGATAGCAATGGAAGTAAAGAAACTACTCTAGGAAGCTGTAAAGGAAATCAGATCAGAAATAACCTCTCAGTTAAAAACATAAATGATAAACATAATGAAAGAACTGGTGAGTATACCCAAAGAAGACATAAATAAAAAATAGAGGAGCATAGGAAAATGATGGAAACCATGAATGAACAATACAGGAAACAATCGGGATACATGGAACAGATTCAAGGAGATATCCAGGGAATCAAAAATTTCATTGAAAGCTAGCAAAACGGCATAAATGAAATTGAAGAGAGACTCTCAGACTTTGAAGACAGAATTGCAGCTGGTGATCATGACAGGAAAATAGTAACAGTAGATTAAGTGAGATTATGTGTGATTTTTTGTTTTCATTCTTCATGTTCTAAGTGCAAACGTAAAACGCAGTGACCTTCTATTTGCTCAATACCATACAACTCAAATGAACAGTCATTACTTGAGCTTTACAAAAATCAAGACTATATTAGGTGTAAGCGAAGACACAAACAGTAAGGTAAACATGAGAACATGGGCTTTTGGAATTAAAAATGCGCAGATATGGCCTAAAAGATCATGGAAAACTGGCCCTTGGCTTTGTGATGTATGAGGAGTCTGAAATTTCTGACTATTTTGTCTAATGTCATCTGGCAGGTAGTTTCTGAATCATTTTTTAGTAACAAAGAAAACCTGAACATAAGTCAATTTTAGTTTATCTCCTATGTCTACCCTGGAATTAAAAACTAGAATACGAAACTACGAGATTTTATTATTAACCTTTAAAAACTTAATGTCACGCATTTGTATCAATGAGTATGACACTCTTTCTCTGAATTTAAATTAGTCTTTAACTGATACATAAAAAGAAAAACGGTACTTATTTCTGGGGGTGTCGTGATGTCTCAATACATTATGTAATGTTCTCATCAGGGTAAACATGCCTATCTCTTCAAACACTTATTTTGTTATGGTGAAAATATTCAGTCTTTTCACATAGCTTTTTGAAACATACAGTACATTATTGCTATTTGGTGTGCCATGCTATAGCACACCAGAACTTCTTACTCTTAGCTAACTATAACTTAGTCTCCAACTCCCTCTCTCGTACTGTCTCTAGATTTTGGTAACCACAATTCTAGTCTCAGTTCCTAAGAGATCAACTTTTTCCATTTTCACATATGAGTGAGAGCATGTGATACTTGTCTTGCTGTACCTGACTTATTTTTTTAATATAATGATCTCCAGTTCTATGTATGATTTTGCAAATGCCAAAACTGCATTGCTTCTGTGGATTAATAATATTCCATTGGATTTCTGTACCATGTTTTCTTTATTCAGCCATCAGTTGGTGGAAATTTAGATTGTTTCCATTTTTTATGAATAGTGCTGCAATAAACGAGGAACTGCACATGTCTCTTCCAAATACTTATTCTATTATCTTTGAGTATATATCCAATAGTGAGGTTGCTGAATCATATGGCAGCTGTTATTTCTCATTTTTAAGCATCATAATATTTTCTGTAATAACTATATTAGTTTTCACTCCCAATAGTAGTGTGAAAGGGTTCCCTTTGCTTCACATCTTCACCAACACTTGGTATCTTGGGATCTTTGTAATCTTTTATACTAGCAATTCTTATTGAAGTCAACTAATATCTCATTGTGTTCACGATTAGTGAGGTTGAGCATTTTTCCCCATACTTGTTTGCCCACCTGTCTTCTTTTAAGAAATGTCTTAATGACCTATTGTTCATTTTTATTTGCTTGTTTGTTTATTGTCTTTTTGAGACAGGGTCTCACTATGCAGTTCAGACTGGTCAGACTTTGTAGCCCAGGCAGGCCTTGAACTTGCAGCTATCCTCCTGCCTCTGCTTCCTGAGTGCTGGGATTACAGGCATGCATCAACACACTCAGCTCCATTGCCCATTTTTAATCAGGTTATTTTGGTGATTTTGTTTCTGATTTTGAGTTTTTGGAGTTCCTTATATGTTCTGGATATTAACATATCGTCAGATGTATGGCTTCCAAATATTCTCTCATTCTGTGGGCTGCTTCTTCTTTCTGTTATTTCTTTGGCTGTACTAAAGTTTTTAGTTTGATGTAATAATATTTGTCCATTATTTTGCTTTTGTTGCCTGTTCTCTTGGGCTCTTGTCCAAATAATCTTTATTTCAATATCCTGAAGCATTTTTCCTGTGTTTCCTTCTAGTAATTTCCTAGTTTGGGGCCTCATGTTTAAGACTTTAATGTATTTTTAGTTCATTTTTAGGGCTGATGAGGCAGAGGTCTAGTTTCATTCCTCCACTTCTGTATGTTTCATTTTCACAGAATCATTTATTGAAAAGACTTACCTTTCCAATGCATGTTAGCACTTGTGTCAAAAATCCGTTAGCCATTGATATGTATGTTTACTTCTAAACTCTCTACTCTGTTTCATTACTCTATGCGTCTACTTTCATGCCAAAACTATGCACTTTCATTTGCTCTAATTTTTCACAATGCTGCTAGAACAGTTGCAAGAGTTTAGATCACCCTGCAAATTCAAGATTTTATTCGTTTATGGACTTTCCACAGGAGTATATGTGAAGATGTTCGCTGCATTGCTAGTTATAGATTTAAAACTATTGACTAGAAAAGGTTCAACAATAGAGAATTACTGTATAACCACCTAAAGAAATGTTATAAGGCAAATAAAAATATGACTTAGTTTACCACACAAATCTAAAATTTAAGTAAGTAAAGACAAATACATAACTAAAATTTTAATATTATTTGATCAATGGAAAGGAGCACACAGAATTTAAATAATTATATCAAGAAGACAAGAAAAGAGTGATTTAAATGATTCTTGTAATCATTCTTAAAATAATGATTTTTAATATGAAAAACCTTTAATGATATTCTTGGTTTTTTACTATTCATTGAACATTTACTTACCAATCACTAACTTTGAAAAGTGTACTGCAGACCAGTTGCTAACTCCACATCTTACTGCTTAAAGGAAAACTCAGGTCTTCTCTATTTTTAAAACCTCTCAACAGAATCAATACCATACTTGTTATTTAAGGTATATGAAGTCATTGATATTGTACACCACTTTTCTAAAAGAACTCAGATGCATAAAAACAAACGTTAAATTATCGTGAATTTTTAATTTTCCCAGTTTTGCACACAAATGATAAGAACCGAAGGATGACATAAAAGAAATGAAGTTTAAAATTTAGGTTGTTTTCAAGGCCTCTTTTCCTACCTGGCTCTCCATTGCATCAGTAACATCTATGTTTGGTTTCTGTTGAAAAGGTACTGTCAAGGAGTATAGTTCTGTCCAAAATCTACCCCACATATCACCTATATTTAAAGAGAAAACATTAATATAGTGAAAAATAGCAAAAAATACAGATCTGACTTTATACAGTGCACAAGATTGGTTTGGTATGCAAACCATATAGTATTCCTAAACAGTCTAGTTTCTGTGCTTCCCCGTTGCTATGTTTCTACACTATTTGCCTTCTCTTATTTTAAATTGCCAATATTTCCTCCTCCTATTGCTTCTAGAAGATTAAAATAGTGAGAAATTATCTGGATAGGCAAAGCTTGTTAGGGAATAAGCCTAATTTTTTCTACTTTGAATCGCTTACTCAGGGGCACAATTTATTTAACATATGGAAAATTATAGCTACTATAAAAATTCATATATATCACCATTCATGGAACAAAATACTAAAAATTAAACTATTAGTGATGCCTCATATTGAATTCAAAAGAAATTATATAATGTAATAATTTAAATATATCTACTAAGTAGCCAGGCATGGTGGTGCACAACTATAATCTCAGTACTCTGGAAAGCTGAAGAGGATACCAAGTTCAAGCTCAGCCTGGACAACTTAGTCACTCAGTGAGACCCTGTCTGAAAATAAAAAGTAAGAAAGGGCTGGGGATGTAGCTCAGAGAGACCACCTTAGGTTCAATTCCCAATACTGCAAAATAAACAGACAATATTTCCATTAGTTAGTAACTAAGTTCACTTTATCACTATGGTAATACACTTAACCAGGTGACTTTTCAAGCATCTCCAACAATGTGAAGTTGGATTACAAGATCAGAGACCTAAAAAGCAAAGGTGAGTCTAGAAAATTCAATATAATAGAGCAGAATCCTGGCACCAAAGAAATGGGACAACACAGCTACATGAAGAATACTCCTGTGAATTCATTTTAAAAGATACAATGTGGAGTCCCATACTGAAATTTTAAAGAAAAACTCATCCACTATAGAATATATATATATATCACCAGGCTGAAGCATAGTCCACAGTAAAAGACCAAAAATGACTCAATAGACAAAATGACTCAACAGACAAAGTGACATGGCATGTAAAACACAAATATGATCGCCCACTAAATTGATGGGATTATAGTGTCTAGAACAAAGGCAGATATGGCACCACTTTTTCCCTCTGTTGGTCAAACCTCATCTAGAGTAAGCATTTAGATCTGAACATGACAGCTGAAGAAGGACTGGACAGAGTGCAGCTCATGCAAGAAAGAAGAGTTTAAAAAGTGGAATATTCAGGAATGGTTGAAATTCTGTGTGGGATATTTAACTTAAAAACAGTGCATATGTACTGATAACAATAATAGCCACTAAAATATATTGAGTACATACCCTTGTGCCATGTACTGTGCTGTGTCTTACAGTTTCCTTATAAATGGTACTAGGTTAGTCTATCTTAGAAGGAAGAACCCTTAGAAGGAAGAACATGATTGGGAAAAACCTAAATTACTGAATAATGTCTTCCAAGGATGTGTAAAGAGGATTTCCATATTTCTTTAGGATTAAAAATCATCATAATTCTTTTGTCCATATTCTTTTCTGCTGATAGATACTGGGTTTGACTGTGAAGAATTACCTGTCAGAAACCTTGTTTGACTATAAAAGGCACACAATGTATGGCATGAAATTTTCAAATATTTCTGTTGTATTTGGCCTTGGCCTTTGCTGCTGGAGTGAGAGAGAAGAGGATGGACTCTTCTTTCATTTATTACACATGCAACTCCTAGCCAAGTACTTTTCAGCACGACTTACTGGTGCAGTCTAGGTTGAACACATGAAGATTTTATGCAAGCCAGATCTTAATTTTAGAAAGACTTCCATTCACCCTTGAGCACTTCTGTCTTACCAAGTTTCTTTCCTTCAAGAATATGATGTTAAAATCCCAAATTCCACCTTAAGACCTTAGTCAACCAATTGAAATGCTAAAAACTTTTTTATTTATTTCCACTCTCATTTTAACCTGGGATTCTTTCTCTAGTTATTTTAAATAACCCCTTTATCCTTTGGATTATAGCCAACATAATGACGCTTTTTGTATAAAAATGCTAATGTAATAGGGAATGATTGAAACTGCAGCCTCTGCTGAAGAAAGTGCATTCACATTGTGATTTCTATAACATTATTAAATTCATCTACAGTTTTCAAGAACTTTATGATTGGTCTCACTCCAAACTAATATCTTATTCATGGAAATAACTGAGATGGCAAAGAACATGGGGGATTCCTGGGGTTTCTTACCCAGCAAATGAGCAGGGAGGCATCCAACCGGACTGATACGGGAAGGGTAGGTTTCCATCAACTTGGTTCTCACATAGGCATGGAGTTGTTCATATAATGGTTTAATCTAAAAGTCCAGGAAGAAAATTTAAGACCAATAATGGCCAACTCCAATTTCCAATCCCCAATGCTAGACATAAGAACTTCTTTATACAAGTGGAATTTCCTTAAATTATTTCTTCTCCTCTCATATATTCTGGAGAATTTAAAAGCCATCCTTCTTCACAGATATAGATGATGACTAGCACCACTATATAAAACAATCGAAACATCTGGAAGACTACAGATCCCAAAAGAAAATCAGAGCTCAAAACAATATCTTTAAGATGCCACCTACTTTTGACTTTAAATTGAAGTATAATTTACATAGCATGAAGTTCACTCATCTTTAAGTGTAGAGTTCCATATATTTTAGTAAATTAAAGTTGCTGGGAAACTATCACTGTCATGCAGTTTTACCACAATTCCATCTCCCCAAAATTTCTGTATACCTATTTTAAGCTAATATCACACTCAACTCCAGCCCCAGATAATCACTGAACTGATTTCTGACTCTATACTTGTGCCCATTCTGGACATTTCATTTAAGTAGAATTATATAATGTGTGATACTTTTGTCTGGCTTCTTTTACTTAGAATATTTTCTAGGGTCATCCATATTACAGCATGCATCAAGGGTCCATTCCATTTTATTACTGAGTAATATTCCACTATAGGAATATATCAGAATTAGTTTATCCATTTACCAGTTCAGGGATACTAGGTTATTCCAGTTTAACATTATTGTGAATAACTGCTATGAACATTTGTGTATATGTCTTTCTTTGGGTATATGCTTTCACTTATCTCATGTAGACAGCTAAGAGTTCAGTAGCTGAGTCATATGGTTTAAGTACATATTTAACTTTTTAAGAAATTGTCAAACTGTTTGCCAAAGTGACATCATCATTTCACTTTTTTCTCAATACTGGGGATCAGACTCAGGTATGCCCTATCCTTGAGCTGCATCCCTAGCCCTTTATATGTTTTTTGTTTGTTTGTTTGTTTGTTTAATTTTGAGATAGCTTGGGACCAAGCATGTGATCTACCTGCCTCAGTCTCCCAAGTAGCTGGGATTACAGACAGGTGATACCATAGCAGGCACCATTTTGCATTTTTGCCAGTGAGATATATTTGAAGGCTTTAGCATCTCCACGTGTATCAACATTCGGTATTGTCAGTCTTTTTGCCGTGGCCCTTCTGGTGGCTTTGTGCTGGTTTTTGATCACAGTTTTAGTTTGTATTCACCTAATAACATCTTCTTTATTTATTTGCCATTCATAAAAATTTCTTTGATGGCATATTTAGTCAAATCTTCTACCCATTTCCTTTTGGGGGAGTGGTTTGTATTACTTCCATTTTTGATAGTTCTGCCCAGCCGTGGCCATGGTTGAACAATTTCACACCAGAAGTTTGCTGGTGCAGGGATAAAGAGGAGGTGTAGAGGTCACAATGAAAGAAAAGGAACACAATGAGAAGTGTGCTTGAGATACCTCTACTCATGAGTTTCTCTCTTCCTTATTAGAAAAAACTTCTGTAGTCAAAGGCTGATGAAATAGGGCTGGGGATTTAGTTCAGTGGCTCAAAGTGCTTGCTCGGTTAAACGTGAGGTCGTGAGTTTGATCCCCAGTACCAAAAAAAAAGGTTAATGAAATAATAGTCTGGATTGTCCTCAGGAAGGAAGCAGTCTATGGCTCTGCTAACAAAAGAAGACAGTGCCATCCCCAGGATGATCGCAAAAAGTATTCCCTCTTTTAACCTGAAATACTGCTCCTTCCTGTAAGCTTTCCTTCTTATACCCTTTTGGTTGATAATTACTGACCGGTGATTAAAGGGGAAAGAACAGAGCAATTCTGATCACCTATAGGGGTTGCACTATTTTTCTTAAAAAAAATCTTTTCAACCTCTAAAATTACACAATTCTATGACTCCTGGCCGACCGCTGTGCTAAGAACAGCCCTGAATGCCTTTGCCCACCTCCCTGCCTTCCTGTGCACCGTCCTAGAGTTCTTGGGTTACCTCAGCAAAGGTACGCTCCACATCTTCAATCAACTGGTTACGGCTATAGTTGTAGCCATCCATGTCTTCTACTTCATAATCTCTTCTCCAGTAATCTCCATAGTCCTCATACTCTGTTTTTTAAAAGAGAAAGAGGAGAAAATAAGGGAAGAAAAGGAGACAAAATAGTATAGTTTATGATCATGCTGGAAGAGTAAAAGAAATCTAATGGTTTGTTACATTTTGTATTGCCTTTAGAAACATCGACCCAAAGAGATCCAAATAAATAATAATACTAGATTACTCTGTAATTCTGTTCAGCACTTGTTCTGTACTAGGAATTTATATCATCTCATTTTATATGCACAAAAGTGTACAAAATTGTCATCATTATAACCTACACTGTGCAGATTAACAGTTTATACTTATTTTTAAAATAAAACTTATTTTTGTATATTTAAGGTAGATGCCATGATGTTACAAACTACATATAATAAAGTGTTTATTATAATGAAACAAATTAATAAATCCATCATCTCACATAGTTACCCATCCCCTCCTAGCAAAAGTAGCTATAATTTATTCGGTTAGCAAAAAAACCTTGACTACAGTAAGCTATGATTAACTACTGCCCTCATGTTGTACATGAGATCTTCAGACTTGTCCATCTTACATATCTGCTAGTTTGTCTACTTTGATCTGTATTTCCTCATTTCCTCTCACTCTGTCCTCATAACCATGATTCTCTCCCTTTTTCTGTATATATGATCCTTTTTTGTAAATTTCACATGTAAGTGGAATCACACAGCATTTTTCTCTCTTTGTTAAGCTTTTTAAATTTAACATAATGTCCTCCAGGCCTGTCCATATTGTGGCAAATGGCAGGAATCTCCTCTGTTTATGGTATATATATATATATATATATATATATATATATATACCATATATATATATACCATATATATATATATATATATATCATGGTTTCTTTATCTATTCATCCCTTGATGAACACATAGGTTGTTTCCATACCTTGGTTACAGTGTATATGTTACAATGAGTGTGGGTATCTTTGTGAGATGAATATTTCATTTCCTTTGAGTATACACCCAAAAGAGAATTTCTGGGTCATATGGTAGACCTAGTTTTAATTTCTTTAGAAATCTCCACACTGTTTTCCCTAATAGCTGCACCAATCTGCATTCCTACCAACAGCCTATGCTTAAAGCAGGTGAACCACTTGTCCAACATCACATAACTGCTAAAGGGCGAAGTCACACACCTAGTTTCTTAACCCTGGGTCTCTATTCATACCATAGATCAGTTTGCATCATTAGCTTTAAAACACGCAATTGAGACTCTAAGGATTTTTAGTTCTCATCTTATTTAGAACCTTATGTTTCGATATGACTCAATTTTATCTTAGACATTGTTAAAATGGGCCTGTGTTCATTTGCAAGTTGTGTGTATACACAGCACATCTGTATGTGCTTAATTTAGTACCTAACCATCAAGAAACACAAGCTTATGTTAGTGTCTGAGCTAATAAAGTTGGTAAATGCATTTTAATCATTTTTATTTTTATAGCACATTGCCAATGGATGCTCAGAAAGATGAAGAAACAAATAAATATTTGAATGGGAGGATGCTCTGAGTATTATTTTTTAAATTAATAATAAACTACCATCTGTAGCTTGCCTAGGGCTTGAGAATATGTTTAAATGGCAGCAGGAGAACTTAAAACAGTAAATGAAAAAGAAAAAACTTTTTTCCTTACTCAGCCCCAGGGGGCAGTGTATCACCAAAGCATAAAGTATTCATAATACCATGACTTCATTTCATTATTAAAAAGAGTAGGCTAAGAGATATGGAAATTCCTTCTTATGCTAAGATTTTTATGGGTACCTGACTTAACTTATAATTACAACTGCAGATAATAAAGGCTTTCAGCCTAAACTAATCTGATATCTTTTTCTGAGACATCATCCTGAGGAAGACACACGAATGACCTCTGAGACTGAGCTGTAGTCGGATGAGGGTTAAAGTGTCTCTGTCCCTCATCCCGTCTAAGAAATAGGTTCACCAAAGGAAAGGAAGGTGGTCTAAGGGATATAACTGCATGTATGTTTGAGCGTGTAGGATGGAAAACCATATTACTGAGCTTTTGTTGGATCATTGAACATAACTGTCTGCAGTCTCACTGTATGAATGTCTACTTAATATGCTTTAATTTTGTAATTTGGACAACTGTTTCGAAGAAAACAATATGTAACCTATTAACTAGTGAGTTCTTACTCTATATTTTTTTCTTGAAATTCTGTATTACTTGTACCCTTTTACTGCTTTGTTTTTTTTTATTTCCTTTCTTTTTTCTCTTTAAATAAAAAGAAATAGGTTCACCTACTCAACCCCCAGATTCCTTCAGGAACCCTTGGGAGCCTGACACCTCTGTGGACAACTCATAAGTCATAATTCCTGGATAATTTATTTGTGGTCCTGTAGTTGCATCTCATTCCTGTGCTCTAAACTTTAGAGTTCCAGTGCAACGCTCTCATGCCCCAGTAGTTTCTTTCTGAGACAGGTAACCTGACTGTTTCAGCAAATGATTGTTAATTTGAGGGTATCTTCATATTTAAAAATAAGCTTGGTCATGCATGAGAATTATTCCTGTGTTCTGATAGAGGAACTCAGATCCTCACCACACTGATACACTTACTGTTTGCTCTTGCCATCTCATTCTTCAGGGCCACGTACTCTTCATACAACGGCCTTAGCTGCTTGCCAACCTTAGACCTCCAGCCTTCCCAAGCCCAGAGCCTCAGATTGTAGTCTGTGCTCTTTGACATTATGTCAGCCAAACCTGTTTTCCACAGCGCCCAAAGGAAAATAAACATGCATTTATAAAAATCATAAACAAGTAAATAAACCTTAAAGAATTTAAAATGTTGGCATAAACTTATCAAATGAAATCTAAGTGTTAATTAATTCTACGACTCTTACTATAGGCACAATATGTCTGCAAAGAAAAACTATTGAAATTAATTCATTATTAACTTAAATTATTTCAATGTAATATAATTTACACTAAGTTTTTTTTTTACAGTTAAAAGAGCATCCATGTACTGAAATACACATTTGGTATGCTACCATCTTTAAACTATCCATGTGAAGAGAGAAAAATCATCAAATGCAATTTTTAAAACTTAGAGAATAAAAATAAATTTTTCAGGATCATCACTGAAAATTGAGTCTACCTGGTTCAAGCAGTAAGCACTCCTGTGGATCACTCGGGTAACAAACTTTTCCAGTACTATAGAGGGTGCTCATTGTGTTCAGAATTGTGCTCAACTGCAAATTCAAGATAATAAATAATATTAGAAATGGAAAATATGCTAAAGAGATGCTAACATAAAAATACTCTGTCGGTCATGTGAATTCTTGGTGCTTCAAAAACAAGAGTTCAAAAACAGTTAACATTCATAAGATTGGAACAATTTTGCGTATTTGTATCTGGTGATCTGAATAATGCTTTTAAACATCAATATATTAAATAACAACCTTAGTTATGTTCCTACCACCATGTTTTGAAGGCCTATATCATCATTGTTTTGGGCTCTTTGCTATTGTTATTTGTCTTGTTTGTTGTTTTTCTAGTAATTTGTTTTGTTTTTTCCTCTAATGCATAAAGGATAGATGTACATAAAGAGGCTGATATATGCCTAAAACCTCTCCTAAACAGTTTACAAGAATAGATTGTATTATGCATGATGAAATGTACAGCTACTTTTTTTTTTTTTTTATTTAAGAGGAAAAAGAGAAAAACACAAAACAAACCAAAGCGGCGTAAGGGTACACGCAATACAGAACTACAAAACAAAACAAAACAAAACAAAACAAAACAAAACAAAAAACCATAACAGTAAGAAATTACCTGCTAGTAGATTACACACTATTTTCTTGAAAATAGTTCCTCAAATCACAGTATCAAAGAACACAAGGTGGACATTCAAACAGGGAGACTGCAAACAGCTGTGTTCAATGTTCCAAAAACATTGATAAAGTCAGCTATTTAACACCCCCAAACACACTTGCTGTTATATCCGTTAGAGCTCTTTTTCTTTTTTTTTTTTTCCCTCTCTTTTTTACAACAAAATTTACACATCTTGGATTTTATTACTCCTTAGTGCTTATTACTTTCTTTGGGTGGGGGGAAGAATACAGTCAAATATGGCAAAACAAAGCTGTCAGTCAATACCAAGGATAGACATAGCACATGGTGTAGAACAGAGTACAAGTTTATCAACAATGGTTATCAACGTTGTCCCTTGTTTCCTTAAAAAGAATTGTCTATCTTATTAGATATTATAAAGTTGGACAAAACAGTAGAGAACAAGACCAATAAAACTTAGGCATTGTAAACATTACAGGACTTCCAAAGAAGACAATAGTCAAACCAGAATGGGTATCTTAGTGAATCTTATTGTCTTCAAAGTAGTTGCCTATGTCTTCAAACTTGATACTATCATATAGAATGGAACAGAGTCTAATCAGTCAAAACAAGATCGTGGGAGTACTACAAGACTTCAAAACAAGTTAATAGGAAATCGAAAAGAGTTACTATTTATATATCCTAATTTTTTTGAATTTTTTCTTTAATTAAGACAAACATAAGAAATGACTAAATAATTTTTTTGAAACAATAAGGGGGAGATTGAGATAAAACAGGACATAACAATATAACAATAGAGGTCACAGCATGTCTGTTTCAATAACCTAGTACTTCACCACCTTATAACCTGACTTAATAGTAGTTACCATAGTGTCTTTTTCCTTGAAATATTTGGGTAAAACTTCATATACTCTAGCTTCAAATATTTTCATATCAAGAAGCCCAGAATAAAGCCTTTCTAATTAATGAGTGAAAACTTTATAAGGCTTCAAGGCCACCTAATGGGGAATCATGATTACCACATATTTTTATATATTTGAATCATTACTTACATTAGGGAAACTATTCGGTATTCACACATGCGAGATTGATTTATTTCACTTATGAGTATGGTCTCAAGCTGCGCCCATTTATTGATAAATATCTCAATGTGATCCTTCTTTATAGCTGAATAATACTCCATTGTATAGAAATACCACAACTTTTTTATCCATCCCTCAGTTGGGCACTTGGGTTGTTTCCAAGATCTGGCGATTACAAATTGTGCTGCTATAAACATAGGTGCACATAAATCACTGTGGTATGATGCTTTCAGTTCTTCTGGGAATATGCCTAGAAGTGGAATAGCTGGAATAAATGGGATTTCCAGTCCCAACTTTTTGAGAAATCTCCAGACAGATCTCCACAAAGGCTTGTACAGCTACTTTTAAGAAACAGAGACATACTATCCACTGCTGATTTCCTATCAACATGCTGTGAAATCCAGTAATCCTTTTATTCTTTGTTCAGAGTAGTTTTAGTCTGTTTTGTATTATTTAATTTCAGCATACATGAAGGTATGGACAGCTATTTTGAAGAGAACAAGAGACATTACAGTACCTATTGTTGATTTTCCTACTGTCTGGTTTTGAAGGCCTGTAATACCTTCATTATTCTGTTTTGATCAGTTTTATATGAATTCATTGTGTGTGAAGATATAGACAACTATCTAGAAGAAAACAAGAGACAATATGGTAACCACTGTTGATCTCCTGTTGTCCTGTTTTGAAACCTGTGTCACTTGCATTGTTTTCTTCTGATCTGCTTTGTTGTTTTGTTTTACTCTCTTTAAAACAAAACAAAACAAACAAACAAACAAAAAGTTCACATCTTCTTTACCAAGTGTCTTTCTATACATAGGGAAGGAACATCTCATTTAAGTTTCCCCACCAGAAACCAGCACAAAGCCCCCTAAGCACATAATAATTACAGTAGAGTAACCGAGATAAACATATCTGCCAAAACCCCAAGACGGTTTCTAACCTAAGCATTCACAAAGAGCATGTGCTGTAAATTGTCACTAAACAGTGATGTGGAGGTATTGTCTGGCGAGTGGGCAAGGAGACCTAACCTGGAGATGCAGAAATGGCTTCAAAGAAGAGAGGACATTAGAGCTATGTCTTGCAAAAGTAAGAATTGGTCAGGTAAAGAAAAGAAGTAGAGGACAGAGCCTAAATATGCGAAGAGGCTGGAAAAGACTAGTCATTTTCAAGAGGTGACGGAATGTTGTATAGAACTGGAATGATGATATTCACTGGGGAGAATGGAAGACGTGAGAATGGAGAGGTAAGCAAGAGAGAGATCATCAGGACCATTTCTGCCATAATAAAGAGTTAAACTTGGAGTAAAAGTAACAGAGTAAAGTAGTGCTACTCATGCTGCGGTCTATGGGTCAGTGCAAAAGGTTTGTTTCCATTCTGTGATAACTATGAGAATTGAAAGGAAGCAATTTGATATTCCATAACATCTAAGTGTATAATCAATGAAATTAACCAAGTATTGAAATATAATGAATTGGAAACAAAGAAAGAATGGAGGGAGAAAATAAGGAGCGAGAGAAGAAAGAAAGGAAGAAAGGAAAGGAAGTGGAAGAGAGGGAAGGACCGGTTCTTTTTCCACGGATGATTAAAAAAACACAGAGGTGTTTTTCTTGTTTCTTGTTTCTTTTCTTGTTTCTTCTTCCATTATTCTTTCACTCTACTACAGAGTCATTATTCTAAAACATGAAATTAATACAGGCTTAACGCTCCCACAGCATCCCATAGCCCAAGGAATAAACCTAAATTCCTTGCCCCAAAATCCCATATGGCCTTTTTCTCCACTTACATCTTCAGCCTCTTTCCTTCTCCTCTAGTAAACCCATACATCCTTGAATATCCTCTTTTCCCAAATACTTCAAGCACTTATTCTCATTTACTGTTTTGCTTTTAATCTTCATGCACATTACAATTATCTGGGAATCTTTTAAAAATAGTGTCCAGGTTCCACCTAGGCTACACTAGGCCATCTAGATTCAAATGTACACAGCTTCTTAGGGTGTCCTTGTGAAAATTATGGAGAACCAAGAAGTGGATAAGATAAAGTGAATTAATAGCTAGGGAGAGCATTAGGTTCAAAGAATGCAGAATAATAAATATCAACTTGTGTAAATAAATGCCATATGGCTTTATCTCTGTCCTTATCAGAAATTTTTATTTTTATAAATGTGGATTGGGACATACAGAGTTCTGAAGATAAATAGCTGAGAAACAAGAATTTGATGTTACATAGCTAAATATTTTAGATAAAAATATTTCAATAGGCTCTGTCAGGAGTCTGCAAACCATGGTCTGCAGAAAATCATGCCTGCTGTCTGTTTTTGTAAAATTTTATTGGAACACAGCCACATTCATTCCTTTATGTATTAGCGATGGCTGGTTTCCTGCTACAGTGGCAGAGCTGATTATTGTGACACAGGCAATATGGTCTGTGAAGCCTAAAATATTCAGTATTTGTTCCTTTATGGAAAGAAAGTTTACTGACTCCTAGGATAGATGGCTGGGCAAGGAATGTTATTTTAGCAAAAATCAAAAGTGCCTTTCTTTAATTTGGACAAACTAAGAAGGAATTTTTGAAGAGCCATTTTAGAACAACATTGGTGGGAGAGATTTGAAGACTTCGTTGGCAGTAAGGTTTACATTAGCCAATTATGGCATTTGGCTATCAAAACCCAAAACAATTTATACAGTTCTATACTGCCTTAATAGATGCAGACCACAGGGAACCATGACATGTTTCTGCTCACCTCTGTAATATCAGAACCCAGTGTCTCCTTTCACTCTTGAAAAGACTTCAGTTTTGTTGATGTAATGTTTTACATCATCTAAAGGCCATGTGCTAAAGGATTGGCTCTCAGTCAGTGGCGCTACTAGAAGGGCGTGAACTCACTAGGAGATGGAAACCTAGGTAGAGGAAGTAGGCACTGGGGATATGCCTCTGAGGAGTCTATTTTGTCCCTGGCCCTTGGTTCTTTCCCTCTCTTTTCTTCTATCCATCAAGAAGCGAGCCTCCTTTTTCCTTCATATGCTCCTTGCTACGATGTTCTGCTCCAGAAAAAAATGGAGCCAAGTAACCATGGGTGAAAACCTATGAACAATGAACCCAAATAAATCTTTCATATTTAAATTGATTTTCTTGAGTACTTTGTCAGAGCAACAGAAAGATAACTCTATGGTCACCCTATGTAGGCACAGAAATCCTGATAATGTCAGCATTACTGTCTTTGCAGATAAAGGAAGTAGCCATGGGTGATATTAATGTTTGATATCTCCCAAATATTTCAACACTTGGAATGAGTGCTAGAACATTCACAAACATACCTGTTTGTTCTTGTCTGCAGAAAACCCTGAAGATCCACTCTGCTGAAGGATCCGCAACTGACGCTTGACTGTGAGATTCTGGATGTCTTGCAATGGATATGCTTTGGCAAGGTTTGACTGTTCTTCATAAAAGGCAGACAAAATGCCCCCAGCCTCACTCTGAAATGGCAAAAAATAAAATTGAAATTGGAATGGCATGACTTTAATAGAAGAGAAGATACAGTACAAAGAACATCTGGTGAAACATCTACTATTTCCAGAGTGGTTTAGTCCCGTACTTTGAGTAAGGTCAGTGTTTAGGTTAAAAGTGACCAGGCCACATTTGGCTACTCTCTCTTTCTGGCTCAATGCCTAGTTTTCCCAAGGGTCCTGTTCCCAGAACAGGACGTGAATTCTCATAGATAATCCACACAGTGAGACCTTGGAATTTATGGCCTTTGTACTGTGACGTAGGTGAATTGGCCAAATATTCAAGGAAGAATGCTCTAAAAGAAGAACCCAATAGACCTCAAAGTGAACACGATGGGAAGGAATACTGTCCTCATGACCATGAGAACCATGAGAAATGAGAACCAATTCACAGTGGGCTCCAATATGCCATTAGTTAGTACAAGCCATTTGAGTTTTAAAAGGCTTCTCAAGACATAGCCATTGGGTAGTTGTGGTGATTTTCTACCAGCAAAAGAAATCAATAAGCAAGTGTTGACACCAGGATGCACCTCCTACATCATATTAGTATGAAACTGGATGTTTTCAGACTTCTCTAGTGTAGTCTTCTCTCATGTACACATTTATTTCCATTTATCAGGGCATAAAATGAACAAGCACTTTGTTCATGGCACTGTACTAAAGCCATACAAAAGAGATACTGTATTAGACAATAAGAACTTCATTCCTGGAGTCAGACATCTCTGACTGGCTTGTAAACTTAGGCAAGTTGATCTTTCTTTGACCCATGGTTGCCTTATTTGCAAAATAAGAAGAACAATAAAACTTACATAAAAGGGTTATTGTGAGGATTAGAAGAATTACAAATAATAAAATGCTAACCAGAGTGCCTGACACATCCTAAGATTCAATGTTATTTGCTACTTAAAGAGAAGAGATCCTTGTCCTTAAGTTGCTTAAAATTTTATCAGATAGATAACATATGCATCATGAATGTTTCATTAATGAAAAATGAGTATATAATACTCTATAAACTGTGAGTGGATCAATAAGTTTGTTACAAGAAAGGAGAAACACAGGTGACCACATTTGGTCAGGTCCTCATAGAAGAAGAACTTAAAGTAGGTAAGAATCAGAGGGCATGGAATCCTTTGTGAAATGATTTATGTCATTTGAGCTTTTTAACGACTCCAGGAGATAGACGATCACTGTATCTCAATTGTATATGCACAGAAATGGGCCTCGAGAAATAGTGGAGCTGGCAATCATCCATCAGCATTCAATCTTGGACCTGTAGCTCACAGACAGTAAAATGGCTCCCATAATCCCTACCTTCTGGTGGTCATGTCCTCATGTGGTCCCTCTTGAGTAAGAACAGACCAGTGACTTGCTTCTAACCAATCTCATACAGCAGAGGTGATGGGGTGTACATACTCACATCACATAAGATTGTAATTTTTCTACCTTGCTGACTTTGATGCAGCAAGATGTCATGGTATGTATATTCTATGGAAAAACAAGACAGCCTGGAATTGAGGATGGCTTCTGATAGCATCCTGTAGTAAAGCAAGGACCTCAGTTCACTAGTACACTCAGATCCTAGTGTAACACGAGCTTTGTTAGCTTGGAGTGGATCCATCCCTAGTCAAGCACCAGACAAGAACATAGTGCTGCATGCTACCTTGAGTGTAACTTGACAAAACTTGTAGGATGCAGCTAAACTGTGCCTAGGCACCTGACCTGCAGCAACTGTGAGATAGTATGTGTTATTTTAAGGCACTAAGCTTGCGGTAACTTTTTATGCAATAGGTAACTAGTACAGCTCTCAAAGACAGGACTTCAGGCATGATTGCACTTTCTAGGCCAAGGAATTTTACTTCTATCCTTTGAGCATTAGGTAGTCACTGAGAGGTTCTTGTTTAGAACAAACGTGTCACATGATGAAAATGGTGTGCAGAAGTGAAAGTAATGGACCAGAAAGGAGATGGAGGAAATAGTGGTAGTGAAAAAAGAAAATAATTTCCCTCCTTATTAAACACTCACAATGTGTCAGTTCATGTTCATGTACAGCACTTTTGAGGGAGTTACCATCTCTATTTCAGAAATGAAGTGAATGAGGCACAGAACAAAGCAACTTTCCCTGGATCACATAGCCAGAAATTTGAAGAACCAAGGTGGCAAACCAGTGTGCTTACCTCCAGAGCTCCTGCTCTGAACCACTGTCCTGTAGGTTGTATTTGACACATTCTGGCCTGCTCTGATGTGTATGAGTGAACTATTGAATGAGGACACTGGTCTACAAAACAAGCTGGAACTATGCAACCCACCACCGCCTTATCAATTCCTATCTTTCTTCATCCAGTGTAGTATAATTTACTGTCAAGTAACATTTCTGATAAAATTTTGAAGCCAAATCACATAAACAAATTTATTCTGGAAACAGCACAATCTCCCAAATGCCGCAGTTTGAGGGGGAAAAAATGTATTGTACTGCTTGTGGGAATTTGAGACTATCCGATTTGATTTTGTCATTACCAATCTAAAAGTGTTATACTTTACATCACCAAAAATTTTGTTGCTTTGCATTTTGGCTCCTGAGGACATACTGTTCCTTCCCAAGCTATTCTTTGTAACATTATTTATGATGTATTTTGTATCCTTATGTTAAGATTCCTGGGCCTAAATAAAGCAAACAGCTCATGTTATGCAGAAAATCACAGTTAGTTCATGCATACCAATCAGATGATCTAGGTAGTGGTCCAGAGCTATATGCAGTTTTTTGACCTCAATGATGAATGAAATGAAACATATACAGCAGTTTACATAGCTTCAGGGCTTGGGAAAGGAACTATTTCAGGTAAAATTGGTACCTTTTCACAGCACTTCTGTGCAGACAGAAGAGAAGCAACTAAAACAATGACGTTTTCTGCAACCACATTGGGGGGGAGGAAGGTTTTGGGCAACAGAACATACATTGTTCAGGATAACCACAAAAAATTCAAACGTCCTGTAGTTCCAGCACTGGGAAGGCTGAATGAAGCAAGAGGATCACTGGGGAAGGCCAGTCTGGGCTACAAAGTGAATTCAGGGCCAGCCTGAACTGCATAGCTAGACTGTCTCAAAAAGACCAAAAAAATTTTTGAAAACATTTTCTGACCTTTGTCTGTCTCTGTAGTGGACACCATATTCCTATTCTGTGAAAGATCTTTGCAACTTCAATGACTGGAAGTGAAAATGCTACATTATATTTTATAAATATTCAGAAATATATTCTAGTCTATTTTGGCCCTAGCTATATGCATAAATTAGATACAATGATTTCTTTATGCTTTTAAAAGTTCTCATACAGGCTTTTGTATCTAATTCATAAGCCTGGGGATCTCTACCAAAAGTGCAACAATTTTATTTAAACAATTGCTTTGCTTCTGTGTTAAGTTGTTTGAGACTTTGGTCTTTTTCTCTAGCTCACTATCCCCTGAGCCTATCTGTACTTTCAGCAATGCCTAAACTACTTCATCCCCTGTATATATGAGAGTTCACTGAAAACAAAAGGTGAAAAGCTGGGTGGCATTTTTGCATCCATCCAGTATATTGGAGCTCATAAGTCTCCTAAGAAAACCTCTAGCTATATTCTGGCCCAGTTTCCAGATGGTTCTTAAGGCCACATCAGGTTCAAAGACAAAACTACCTTGGTTACTTTTTAAGTTTGCTCACATGCTGAGCTTCCCCCCCCCCGCCCCCGCCCCCGTCGGGACCAAGGATTGAACTCACGACCATACGCTTACAAGGCAGGTGCTTATGCCCGCTGAGTTAAATCCCCAGTCCCCGCTGAGCTATTTTTAAAAATGCTTATTCTTGAGGCTGGGGATTTAGCTCAGTAGCATAAACGCCTGCCCTGCAAGCAGGTAGTCATGAGTTCGACCCCTGGTACTGGAAAAAAAAAAATGAAAAAGACCAAAAAAAAAAAAAAAATGCTTATTCTAAGCAAGAGAGTAGGTAATCCAAGTGATATGATTATGAATTCCACCACTCCATTTTATGGATTTATTATTATTTTTTCTGTATTTTAGGTGGGAATTTTAATATATCAAATTTTAAACATTATAACCTTTTTATTTTTCACTGTATTTTATGCTATGAGAAAATGGTGGTGCTCAGCCCCAACTTCCATCTTACTTACACAATGATGCTTTTTCCCACCTCCCCTCCTGTACTTAGTATAGGTATTCTGTGTGCCATGAAGTGTGGATGGACCTACAAGAGACACGGGTCCAGTCAGCATTCTCTCTTTGGGTAGAAAATAACAGGTTGGAATTGCCTTACTGTGAGTTCATTGTAACTCCAGCCCAGAGACACAGGAATTGGGCATGCCTGAAACTCTGCAGGTCCAGAAGCAAGTCACTAAATAAACCCTAAAGACTACCTAAAGAGTACCTGTAGATCTCCTGCTTCTGATAACTCATGAAGAAATGTACTTCAGAAGTATTCTTGGAGTCCTTGAGGGCTCCAACAGGGCAGGCCCCAACACTTTAGCTGCATGGACAGGACTGTGGACCAGATGTAGTAGTTACTGCTAATTATTGGAAGGGTAAACCAGGATACTTCTGCTAGTAGCACACATTTTGTTCTGTCCAAGGATAAAAATGGCCCGGCGACCTCTTATGTTGCTATTAAAAATCACATGTGCCTTTTCTGAAATTGCTTTTACAAATTCTCAGTTTCTCCCTGTAACATTGAGTTTGTCTTCATGAAAGTTAAGGTCAAGATTGAGTTGGACTAACAAAAAAGAAAGCTCTTTAGTATCTTTTCTTTTTGCTTAGCTCTGGCTCTTATTTATTCCATTTCATCTTCCCAGTTAGGTTTACCATTTGGAGTTCCTGCTGTTTAGTAATATTCTGATTAATATAATGAATTTGCTAATTCTGTACCCTTTGGGAGGATTTACAAAAGATTCTATTTCAAAAACAAACCAACACAATTACAAAAAAAAA